TTCCTTAAATGTGGATTAAATAATTAAATTCTTAATGTTACACTTTATAATTAATTAAGATTATGTTTGCATATAACAGAATATATTTTTTTTTTACAAATATCTTGTTTTCAGTTGCTTAAGTTCAATTTTACAAAGATACATATTTTTTTTTTTTTATTTTTAATATAAATTCTACTTCATAAGAACTAATAATTCATGAGCTTGTTGAGGTTAGAAAGTTTATACTCCTATGCACTTAACTTGAAGCCTTTACGATTGTGACCGCATTGTTGTTACTTTTCCTATTTCCATTTAAATGAATAAGATTTGTAGATATTCAATTATACAATTTGGAATGTGTTAATTTTGCGGTTCGTTCGTTTCAAATAAAATGAATTTTAAAAATTGCGCTTATACATTGAATTTATTTACGCGAAAACCTGCACTGCATTTTATAAATAAATCTTACCCTTTCTGGTACATCGGGGCGTAATATCCCACTGCTTGTAACGTCCAGCGACGATGATATATAAAAAAAAATCACCGATCAACTTATGTTCTGCAACGTATCGAGGGGGGACACCCAAGCCGCGTCACGTCTTTTGCCTGTGGTGTCAACACTTTCGTTTATACGTAAGGAAACTTGCACGAGTACAAAATCTTTTAATCGACTACTGTTAAAGCCGTCGATTATTTCTTTTGTACTGTGGCTCTTACCAATATTTTACCGCTTCGCGCCGTGTCGATAAAAAATTTATCAAATAAAGTTTTTAAGAATTTCAATTTTTTACACATTTACTAGTTCAATTAGTTTAATTTTTGGTTTTAAATAATTCTTTTGTTTATATACCAGATTTTACACTATCTCTGAGAAATTATTTTTTGATATTGCCATCGCCGTCTTAGTTAGAGAAATTTCGCTGCTGCTAACGCCAGAACCAGGAGTTTTTCCTTTCACGATCGCACAAAACAAGACAAGAGACCGCTTCTTCCAAGTGTACGCACTTTTATACCGTCAACGATCAACGGTGCCAGCTGTAGGTACGTTAAAGTTCAACGACCGTTGATCGAAGCTCGTGAACTGATCCCTCTGCAATGCACCAGCGAAAGTCTAGCTTTAGGGCGAATTCTAATTTTTCTCTCTCATGTGGAAGCTGGAACTTGTTCTTTCTTTAAGCTTCGCCCTAGTTCCACACCTTTTCCACAAAAGCTTTCTTCGTTTGACAGCTCGTGTTGTTTTGTTTTGATTTTATTCTATTTTTACAATGTGGTTTTTTTTTAAAGATAAATTACAATTTAATCAAATAATTATAATTATAATAAATATATTAATCAATTTAAATAAAAAAATAGTGTGTGGACTATAGTAAAATATAACTATCACTTCCAGTGCTGGAGTTCTGTTGTTGCGGGGTGGGCTGTTGCGGTTTGGTATAGCGTGTGGTGATGCTGTATAGCGAGAGGTTATTGCTTTGTTGGAACCAATTGTTAAATTCAATCCTGTAAATTTTGTTCGTCAAGGTGCATCCATTGCATCGGCAATGATAGTAATGAAGTATACTGACCAAACTTTACCAAAAGTAACTTACTTTATGCAATTATAAGCAGAAGTTATAAGCAACAAACATGAAGATGTACTGGCAAAATATGGTGCTATATCAGCTCAAGGTATTCTGGATATTGGAGCTTTGTTGTTGGGCTGCGGAACCCACGATGTTGTAACAATTAAATTGCCAAAAATTTTAATCGTTACAATATTTATTAATCTATTTTGTATATATTATTCAAATCAAGTATGGACAATTATGTATAGTGAGGAAGTATTTGATTATCTTCAAATATTATATTGTACCATTTTGTACCATTTTATGCTGCTCTTGAAAGCTTCAATAAACGTCGACTATGATTTCTTATTTTAGTGATAATTTAGTTAATTGTGGACGAAATTGATTGATTTTTATCTTATTTGAAAGTTAATATGTTAAAGAATAATATTAATTTGGTACAAATAGTCAAAGGTGAAAAATACGGGAGATGGGAGCGAAGAAATTTGAAAAAAGTGAAAAAATGGCATTTTTCCGAAGTTTAAGGTCGATGAGCGACCTCTAAACATTATCCGATTAGTCTAAAACTCCACATTTAGTAGTTTTTTGAGTATTTGAATAAATTTAGGGGGTGGCATCTAAAATTCGAACACATTTTTTTGCCCCCATACATATTACGGCCACCCTAATATACATAATATAAAACATGCCAGATTTTAAATGTTTTCATTTAATTATCTTTTTGTAATTTTCGCACTTCAGCTAGTAAATTTCTTTCTGTTAAGTTTTAATTGTTCAAATTTCATCGAATTTATTTTAGTTCATTTAAACTCTAATTTAAGCTATAGTTTCACGCGTAAATTTTCACTATTTAAATGTTTTCTTTTATAACGTTTGTTGGTCACTTTTCATTTTTTTACCCCGAGTCCGCCGCGAGGATCAACCATACATCTTAAAACAAACCACGAGACTCCCCAGCAGCATAAAACTGTTTTTTTCGACTCCCGTTTTTATTTCATTTTTTTTTGTCATTGCTTGCAGTACACTCTCCAGTTAGCCGTTTTTTTTCTTTTGGTTCATCAACTCAATCTTTCCCCTCACCAGATGTTCGGTTGTTTTACTTCCAGACTTCTTTTTCTTTTCTCTCCTTGCGATTTTTAACTACACTCTCAGCTTTGGCGAAAACGAAAATGTAAACACACATAATGTCATTTCTCTCGTTGTTATTTTTGTTTTGATTTTTTTAATAAATGTGTTTGGCTGCCAGTGTTTAATATTTTTTTTATTTTTTTTATCAAAACAAAGATGACTATAAAAAAAATACATATTAAGGAACTGTAAGATCAATTTTGTTTTGACAAATATGCAAAAAAAAAATTGATCATTACAAACTACAAAGACAATAGCAGTGTTCAAAGGAATGGGAGATAAGCAGAATGTAGTAAACGCAATGTACACACACAAATATGAAAATAAGCAACAAAGAAGTGTAGTTGAAGCAAAAGCAAACAAGAATGCTCTTAAATCTTGTTCAGGCTACGGTCATTCTCACACAAGAGAAAAATGCAAACTTCGCAATACTGTTTGTCATAAGTGTGGAAAAAAGGAACACATAGCTGTGGTGTGTGCATCAAAGCAAAGCAACAATAAAGATAAACATGGAAAATGTAGTGATCAAAACAAAAATAAAAATAGTGAAACAATTCAAACAGTGCACAGTGTCATGGGACTTGTAAAAACTGTTGTGTTTTTCGGAGTACCCGCTGTTTGCTTGCTCCTTAGATAAGCTGACGACAATAAATAACAAAGTCTTTATTATTATTTTAGAACACGAATAGCTTGCTTAACCGCTGATTCACTTCCACTGTATAACACTTCCAAAAAAATGCAGAAGTCTTGTGTTAAGGTTAAGAGATTCAAATATTTTTATTTATTTCAATTGTTATATATTTTCATTTAATAAAATTTACAACATACATTTATGTTATTTTAGTCATTCAAATATGCGTCCTTAATAAATTTTCAATATATGTTTGTTATTGGTTTTTAAATCACATATTCAATTTTATAATAAATATCAAACTCTTTTTTGTCTTTCAATTAAACATGGTGCGGTTAAAATTTCTAATTTAAGTTGAGTTGGGTTAAGTACTAACCAACCTGTGAATACGGCAACACTATAACATTTCACTATAATTTAATTTACGTTTTATTGTTGTGATCCTCTTTTTATCCATTTATTTTAATTATCTTATTCGTGGTTGTAGAGCCTAACGGCTCTACAGAGCACGAGCTTACCCACAGAACACAACTGCTAAACACAACTGACTCTCTCCAACTGACTATCGACTCCAACAGGCAGACTACTGCCTTTAGACTATTGTTTATAAACAAAAATTCTAAAGGTCTTAACTATGCATGATGCCGACATTTCAAGGTGCCCCAAATTACTTTATTTTTATTATTCAATAGTTTTTTGCGTAACTCGCAAAAACGTTAATAACTTAAGTTGCACTCGATATTTTTGCAATTTTTGATTATTCATTTCCAATGTCGCTTTCAGCTTGACACAATTAACAAAAACCGAAAATCAGCATTTCTTACCGAGAAGCTGACCTTGGTTACTGCTATTGGGCAAGCTGCAAACGACGCTGCCTACTTTTAAGCATGCCTTATGTTGGAATATAAATCAGCACGTTCTTCATAGGTTGAGCCTTTCGACTCTCAACAAAACGCAAAGAAATAAAAATGTGATTGAACTAGAAATATTTAATAAAAACATTAGTTTTCAAATGGACTCTGGTGCTTATGTATCAGTTATAAATAAAGAAACATATAAACATTTGAACAGTCCAAGGCTGGCAAAGTGTAATAAAATTCTACATGCATTTTGTAAAAAGCCAATTCCAATATTGGGAGAGTTGCACACTGTTGCAAAGTGTGGTGACAAAGAAGCAAATGTAGTTATTATTGTAGTAAATATAGAAAGCAAATAATCTTTTCGGATTAGACTTGTTTGATATTTTCAATTTTATAATTCAACAAATATTAAATGTAGATGGAAATGTCATACTTTAAATAACTAATCTTTGTATTAAATATAAAGGAGTGTTTAAACCAGCTATGGGTGCAATAAAAAAATTTAAAGCAAGCATAGTTTTGAAGTGAAATGCTACGCCGAAATTTTACAAAAGCAGACAAATACCTTTTGCTCAGTTGGAAAAATTTAAAGAAGCTGATCGACTCACAAGTGCCGGTATTTGGAAGCCAATTAAATTTAGTAATTGGGCATCTCCAATAGTATTGGTAACTAAACCAGGTGGAGCAATTCGAATTTGTGGTGATTTTAAGCGGGCTGTGAATGCACAACTTGACATAGAGCAATAGCCATTGCCAACACGTGAAACGCTATTACATACCATTCGTCATGGTAAATATTTTACCAAAATTGATTTAAAAGATGCTTATCTACAAATGGAATTAGATGAAGTATCAAAAAGCATTATGGTCGTCAACACGCCTTTGGGCCTTTTCCAATATCAACGTCTACCGTATGGAATAGCTAGCGCACCAGCTATTTTTCAACGATACTTGAAACAACTTATATGCGGTATTCCAGAATGTGGAAACTACCTAGATGACATAACAATTTCAGCACCAACGAGTGAAAAAAACATCAAGCGCACAGAACAAATTTTGGGTATACTGCAACAAAATGGCATCAAGTGCAAGAAAGAAAAATGTTTCTTTTTAAAAGACGAAATTGAACATTTGGGTACGAGAGTTAGTGCAAATGGTATACTTCCTGATAATTCCGGGCTAGTAGCTGTGAAAGAATCAAAGCCGCCTGTTAATCTAACACAGTTAGAAGCATTTATGGGAAAGTCAACTACTACTGCAATTTTATCCCGAACTACTCACAGCTAGCTTTGCCACTTAATCAACTTCGCAGAAAGAACACACCATTTAAATGAAGCCATAAACAGCAACACGCTTTTTCAATATTGAAAGATCACATTGTTAATTTTAATGAAGGTCTTGTTGTCCTTTTAATGAAGGTCCTTTAGTGCTTGCCACTGATGCGTCACAGTTTGGCATCGGTGTAGTGTTGCCAAACAGCTAACCGGATGGCAACGAAAGACCTATAGCGTCCGCATCTAAAACACTTGATACACATCAAGTTAAATATAGTCAAATTGAAAAGAAAGGGCTTGCCATTGTTTTTGGAGTTAAACGCTTTCACCAATATTTGTATTGTAGACAATTTATACTTTTTACGGATCATAAGCCACTGATAACTATATTCAATCCAAGTAAGCATGGTTGAAACATGACTTCAAACAGATTGCAGCGTTGGGCTATCATTCTTATGGCCTATAACTTTGACATCAGATATCGTCCTACATTTTAATTTTTCGAACTTTCTAGTGAGCGGACGTGTTTTTAAGCCGGTCTCGGAAAAATTTAAATTTCAGTATAAAAACAAGTAAAAAACAATCACTTTTAAAATAATTACTTTTGTTATTAATACAAAAATAAAAAACAGAACATTCTCGGACAAAAAAACAATTCCTAAAAGTTAAAAGTGCATAAAATATTAATTTGAAAATAGCGCGCGCTTTTTCGATTTTTGTTGATTTTTGCACAACTTTAATATAAAAAAAAAACTCAAATAGCTGACAGAGACAGCAAATTATTTTCTAAAGCTCAAAATAAAAAAAGTGAGCAAGCATTCAAACAAAATATCAGTGCGGTTTTGTGAATATATAAACAAAACAAAAAAGTGCTGATAGAGACAGCTAGTATTTTATTACAAACGTGTTCCACAAAAGCTGTAATTGGAAGCCCGCAATTCATCACAACACAACACAACACACCATATCAAAACACAACAAAACATCAAAACCAACATACTTGCTAACATTGGATTTTGGAATTTAAAGTTATTTATTTTATTAATTATTATTATTTTTTTATTATTATTATTATTATTATTATTATTATTATTATTATTATTATTATTATTATTATTATTATTATTATTATTATTATTATTATTATTCCCCCTGCGGGATAGGGGTTAGAATATTCCCGTGGTAAGGCATGCCTGTCGTACGAGGCGACTAAAATCCAGCCATCGAGGGACACCCAAGTGTGCAGAGAGTGACTGCAGCTGTGCACCACCGAGGGACACGGACGAGTGCACTGTTTTAAGAGAAGGCAGCTGCACCAACGATGGAGTTCCTTCACGTCCAACATAAACACTATGTTAAGATGATGGCAAAAAACGCATGCCGAAACAGGCAATGCACATCAGCTATGAATTCAGGGTTCATACACCCATGGCATACTGGAAATAAACAACGATAACGATGACTTTGGGCTGGCGGATGTGGTATTCTGTTACCTGAGTATATGAGAGTGACATCTCATAGAAATGGCTTTCAGGTTAATGCTGCATCTTCCTCCGTCCTTTTAAAACTTGGCAAGTCTCCAAGTACGTTCGATGTTTCGTCACCGTTAAGTTGGTGGTATAGGCTCAGTTGAGAGTACTCCTGACCTGCGCCAGATTCTGGCTCTGAACACAATCTCCCATAAGGAATTGTGTCAACCCTCGCATGGCCTCCCTGCTTCGCATAGATAACCATGGGGATCGTTACGAGCGACTATACAACCGAACATCGATAGCGGCTAGGAGTTTGGACCCAAAAATCATGACAAATGAAAAAACAAATACACAAAATCTAACGGAAGCGCCATCGCAAGATGGCCCAGGGAAGTCCGCATCGGACAGTGGCACGCCAAACGTGCCATCACAAATGAAGGAGGTTCCCGTCTCACCGAGCGATGAATACATCCAAACCCTGAGAAGGGAAGAGGAGCAGACACTAGGAAAGTGTATAGCCGCCTTAATGAAGATAAAAAATGGCATAATGCGGCAAAAAAATGTCTCGCTAGATATTAAAGATGGCGTAAACGAACTGCAAACGCACTTCGAAAACATGGGCTACTATAGCCGATGCTGGATCAAGGCAGTGGCGAAAAAAGCACGAAGAGAAGCAAATGTGGTAGACACACCAAACGTGCATAGACAAAAGCGCATGGCGACAAGTCCTGCTGCGCAAAACACAGGAAATGAGAGCGCCAAAAAGAGCAGACAAGATAAGCCTGAGGAATGGCAAACCGTAAATCGGAAGAAGCTCAAAACCCCCAAAAAAAGAGAAATAAATGGGACGCCCATAACTACGAAAAGACCAGACAAAATAAATGTCGGTACAAAGAAAGCTGAAAAGAAAACTAAGCCAGAAGCAAAGAGACCCAGGCCCAATAAGGACAGAGGCCCAAAGACGGAAGCAGTCCTCATAAAACCGACGGGAAGTCAAACTTATGCGGACATTTTAAAGAACCTCCGTTCGAATGTCAAGCCGGATGACTCGAAAGTCAAAATTCGAGCAGTCCGCAAGACAATGTCGGGAGCTCTGCTATTAGAGCTTGACAAGGGGACCAAGGCAAGCTTAGAGTTCTGCGATGAAATAAGGAGTGCTT